ATTCTGCACTCTTTATTGTGTCTTTTTCTTGTGTATGATTACAAAAAGGATATAATTAAGTGGTAATTGAACTTCGTGTCGTGCAATATGGGTCTGAAATCAAACTTACAATTACAAATCGCACTCCCGCTACGCGGTCGTTCGATTTTGTAATCGCGCGTTTGCATGATTCAGACCAAATTGTACTCCACTCAGTTCAATTACCATCATTGATTTATGATAATTTCTTTACAGAATAAATTAAAGTTTTTACCATGGTAAAACATAAATTTAAAAAACATTATACTTTACAACATCAAATTACTAAAAATGCTACTCTAAAGTTGTTTTACAGAATAAAGCTTTTTCCCCAGTGAAACATTAATTAAAAAATAATATATTTAACAACATCAAATTACTAAAAAAATTGGAATTTATTAATCATAATAACAGATTTTTCTCACTTTTTATTTGTAAAATTCATGAATAATTAATGAGTGCCTAAGGCAATAGAATAGAAATGAATATCATGTAAACCTGATACAAACCTTACAATGAAAATGCTGATTAGACACGGCCACTAGTGGATGTATACTGTTCTGATACGACACTTGTGGTTGTATGTAATTAGCACATGAATTCAAAATGTCCCAAAGGAGTTATGAATTATGCACGGAATTTCACAAATCGTTTACAACATTCGCGTCCGTGTTGTATCGGCCATACAATCACTCGTCTCCGGCTCGTGATTGTATACAGTCGATTCAAAAAACGTTGTTGTCGACAAGCCTACGCGACTGAACCGAAAGGAAATCTGGAAAGAAATCACTGAAGCGATTGACTGCATAGTTTTATCTGATTAATAGGCCCTTTGCGGTCACGTGTCTGTACTGGAATGCAAAATTTTTGTTTTTATATTAAATTGGTGATTCTTTTTAGCTACTTGTGAAGAACTGATTGAAACAATGTGTATCCAGTGTGTTACGAAATGCAGTTTTATTACGATCTCTCGAAACAGATACAAAAATTTCCGGATACGTGTGTCCGTATCCGCAAATTTTAAGACAACGGATATGTGTGGATGGTGAAAACGATTCGAATACGATGCGTGTGGACGCAAACATTTTCGCATCCGCAAAAAAATAATTTGCGTATATAAAAATTTCCAGATACGTGTGAACGGGGCCTTAGTAAAGTTTCACGCTTTTACTATTTTTTTACTTGATTATGCAGTGTTTTAAAAACGAGTAGGAGTGTTTTATCAGGTATAAAAGCACGAGGCGTAGCCGAGTGCTTTTATACCTGATAAAACACGATCTACGAGTTTTTTGAACTGCTTAAAACACTCATGAACAATTTGTAAGATTTTGGTTCAACTGGAGCCACCATACACGTCACGAACATGGATTTTTATACTTCGATAGAGATTTGACGTCACGGGCATGCGCAACCAGATTCAATAGAAGCTCCCACACGTTGGATATTGCGTGCCAAGGCAATGACAGGCACGTTAGTCTTCATCTAAACTTGGATGCATACTTCATCCCTGATGAAGTCATCCTCATAGTATTCGAATGGTCTTTATATAAAGATCACATGTGTCTTTATATAAAGACACATGTGTCTTTATATAAAATCACTTGAATACTAATGAAGAGGACTTTATCGGATTATAAAGGTTCATGCACGTGACGTGTATGGCGGCTCCAATTGGACCATAAGCTTATGGATTATTAATGAGTGTTTTAAGATCTTGATAATACACTAAATTTGAATGGTCTTAACTTAGAATGGCTGTGTATTAAAATTAAAAAAGCAAAATCTAAGCCATTCTTAGTTGGGACATGGTATAGACCTCCAAACTCTCCTATAACTTTGATGGAAGAATTTGAATGTCTGCTAGAAAACTTAGAGTCACAATCAATTGAATTTAATATCCTCGGTGACCTAAATTGTGATGTCAAAGCTTCTAAGCGTGACCATCATACCTCGCGTTTGCTTAGAATATGTAATAATTTCCAATACCAACAACTCATGCAATCACCAACTAGAGTTACGAAAGATACATCTTCCACTATCGATTTATTTCTAACAAATGATGCTTCAAAATTTAGCCATTATGGAGTCTCCAAGGTCGCCATAAGTGATCATAATCTAATATATGCCATACGAAAAATACCATCTCTAAAATCAAACCCAAAAATTATTGAATCAAGAAATTTTAAAAAATTTAATCAAGATAAGTTTAGAAAAGATCTTATGTTTGTTCCATGGGAAAATATAGAATCTCATACAGATCCCAACTTAGCTTGGCAATCATGGAAAGAAATTTTTCTCTCAATCTGCAACTTCCATGCTCCATTAAGACGTAAGAGGGTGCGGAAGAGACAAGCCCCTTGGTTGACATCGGAACTAAAAATGTTTATGTTCGAAAGGGACAAGCTGTTACAATTAGCTGAAAGATTTAATACTGATAGAAGCTGGTTGGATTGCAAAATCTTAAAAAATAAAGTCAACCATGGTGTTAAATCTGCCAAAGAAGAATACTATAGATCGTATTTTAAAGAAAATGTAAAAGACATAAGACAAACATGGAAAGGTATCAATAATTTATTGGGAAAAAACTTAAATACAACATCTATTAAAAGTATCCTATACCAAGATATAAATCATACTACTCCAAGTGGAATAGGGAATGCTCTCAATTAGCATTTCTCTGAAAAATTATTTTTAACCAATTTTACAGCTATCTTACAGAATATAGTTTAATCTCAGAATGCCAATCAGGTTTCAGTCCCCTATACTCAACTTTGACAGCTTTCTTAGATGTCACCAATGAATGGTTTTTGAATATTGATAAGGGTCTTTTAAATGGAGTCATCTTTATAGACCTCAAAAAGGCCTTTGACACCATGGATCATCAAATATTACAGGATAAGTTAAGACTCTATGGTGTCTGCCAGTCAAGTCTAAATTGGTTTCATTCATATCTTACAGACAGGAAACAAAAGCTTTTCATTGAAGGGGTACTGTCAGATAGCCGTGAAATCAAATGTGGTATACCACAGAGATCCATCTTAGGTCCGCTATTATTTATCCTTTATATTAATGACCTTCCAAATTGCAATCTTTACTCAAATGTGAGAATGTATGCGGATGATACTAGTCTTTCTATTGCAAATTCTAATGAAATTATCTTAGAACAGCAAATGAATCATGACTTGCGTGAAATACACACATGGCTTAAAGCAAATAAGTTAAGCCTAAATGTGGTCAAAACTAAATACATGATTATTGCTAGTCAATACAAGATAAATCATCTTTAACATGAATTTCAAATCCAAGTAGATCAAAACTCCCTTGTGGGGGAAACAAAGTATAAATATCTTGGAGTTGAAATAGATGAAACATTGACTTGGAAGGATCATATAGAAAATATTGCTATGAAGGTCTCTGGAGGGATTGGAGCTCTGAGGCGTGTAAAGCATCTTGTACCATACGATACATTAATTACAATGTACAACTCTCTTATACTACCATATTTCGATTACTGTAGTGTTGTGTTGGATGAGTGACATGCTTCAGACACTTCAAAATAGAGCTGCTAGAGTAATAACAGGTTCGAACTATGATAGAAGATCAATAGGAATTCTGTGTGAGCTCAAATGGGATAATCTTGAAACTCGAAGATATAAACAACTTGCAAAAATAATGTATAAATCATTAAATGGAATTACTCCACATTATTTGACTCAGATTTTTAGTAGCACAAAATTAAATCTGTGCATTCTTATAATCTGAGAAACTCAACTTATAATGTGACGGTACCAAAACCATAAACTGAAGCTGGAAAAAACAGCTTCCATTATAGGGGGGCAGTTCTCTGGAATAATTTGCCCAATCATAAAAGAGGGCAACCAAATCTTTTTTTTTTTTTTTTTTAAAACTTA